AGTACAGCACCAAAGGACATCCTGTGAGCTGGTTCTCTCTCGCACCTATTGTTGGGACAAATTTGGACACCGTATGTTACTATAGAAACAATGCGAGCAAGCTAAACCTAGTCTAACTAATCGATGACATTCTCCTAACCCACGAATGCTTTTTGTTTGGAGTCCCTTCGGATTTGCATTTCTGTCATTTAACGTGTTGTTGTTACCTGACTCAGTGGGTTGGTTGATATTCTGTACTTTTCCAGCTTTGCTGGAGGCGTACATCGGTCTGCTGAGCTTTGCGGTTACAAGGTCAACTGAGCGGTCGGCGTCATCGTGCGGCATTTGTGACGGGTTATGCAGGCGCACCGGCTGACTAGGTCACCAAGAATGGCAATTGATTGGAACCTTCTAACTGAATTTGGACACAACATTGAACACAGCTTGAGAGATAACCAATTCCTCCACAACTGATTTGAGAAACACGGGACTGGAATAAGCTAATGCCTTTCGGAATGCCTCGAGAATTTTGTGTCGAATGGTGTTATACAGAAGTGCAACAGGCTCAACGTGAGTTATCCGCCTGTGTTTTCTCACGGATGACTGTTAAAACAGTTAGTGATGGTGAGGACTTTAATCGTGAAAGATAATCCCACGTAGGATGGATCACTGCGTAGGGCCAGTAAATCCGGTTCGAATGAGTGTACCGTGACTTCGTTGCGAGAAGATAGCGAGCGGATAGAGAAGAATAATTCAAATAACCCAGGAGCACATGCGTCACGCCTCACGTTTGCACCGTCCGCACCAACAATTTGCCATGCTTCCATGATTTACTAGCGATCGTGAGAGTCAAACCATTGAAAGCCAGGCTGGCTTCCGATGTGGTCCTGAATGCATCGACCACATATTTACTCTTCGACAACTGTTAGAGTAGGACACACTTAGAGACGACCGACTGTAGCGGTTTTCCTTGACTTGAAAACTCCTCAAGCTTGTTGATTGACCCACTTTGTGGAACTGTCTATGCGTGAAACGCGTGCTCGCTAATTTCCTTTCCATTCTGTTATCGCTCTACTGTGACTCCCGAGTGTGTGCAAGGGTCTAGATTCCCCACGACTAGTGGGGTCCTCCAGGGTTGTCTTATAAACCCTTTCCGTTCAACTATGTGATCGGAGTGATCATGAATGTCTCTGTGCTTTCAGACTCTTTCGGAAGTAAAGTGCTCCCAGATGCTTGCGAAGGTCATTGCTTTCCTTGAGTCTGACGCAGTGTCTAGGCAAAAACTACTGCACAGACTTGTGCGTAACGTTTGCACGCGTCAGCATGTATGTTGCACCTTCCTAGTGTAAAGTACTGCTGCAGGGATGATCCGACAAGCTACCTATTATTGCTATCAATGAACAGCCTCTAGATGTGGTGGATCAGTACGCTTACCTTAGTACCTGTGTCCTCTTTAGTGGTCACAGCAGTAAGGAAGTTAGTTTGCTTATCAGCAAACCCATGTGGCTTTCCACAGGCACAACGATCTATGGTTGAAAACGGGTATCAGCCTATCATGGAAAAGTTGGATGTGCAGCGCTACGCTAAGGCCGGTGTTACTGTTTGGATCAGAGTCCTGGACAGTGCAAAATGAAGAGATTAAATCCTTGGCCATGTTTGACCCCTTGCACCTGCGGAGTATTGCTCACATCCGGTGGAAATACTAGGTGAGGAATGTGAAGGTCCGACATTTGGTTTCTGGCGAGAAGTCCTTTGGTGTCTCACTCTAGCGTTCACTGATCCGTAACCGCTAACGTTGGTTAGATCAAGTTCTCCGTATGCGCTTTGACCGATTTAATCGGCTTGCATTACATGCCGTGGCTGCACCAATTTCGGCGAGACTGAGAGGCGGCTAGTAGACGACATGGCATAAAGGTATAGAGAAGTTGGCCGGAAGACTTTGTCAGGCTGTTGCGTGCATTCCCGCTGGATGAGGGTCCCGCGATGGTCCCACCTGTGGTTGCTGATCCTATTAGTTATGGTGCATTCGCGCAGTCAGTGGCGTTTCTGCATTCGGTTGCTTGCATTTAGGTGTTAATCTTCATTTCATCGCCATTAGTTTTGCATGTTTCTACCCTGATTCCATTTTCTTTGTATTCTGTTTGAATTTAAACTCATTTTTTGCCTTTGTTTGTATAACTTTTCTAGCATTGTGAGTAAGGGCAACTGGATCCACCGCATTTGCATGTTTGCATCATAGTTGTTTACTCGAACTCAGCTCAAGTTAAAATCATGGAAGTCATTGTTGCCGACGTACTAACGACCTAATTGGATGAACACATCTGCCTTACACAAGAACAGCATGGCTTCCGAGAAAGTCAGTCGTGCACCACCAATCCAGCAGAACCTATGTAGTGGACACTGCTACATGAGGTGATGTATTTTAGCTCGACTACACAAAGTCAATTGACCTATTAGACCATCGCATCTTTGCGAATTTCAGAGCTTTGTTCCTAATGATCCTCACCTACGGTGGATCAGTAGCTTTCTCCTTCATCGGTGCCAGTAGGTAATAGTTTGCGGATCCATGTTAGATCCCATTCAAGTTGAATGCAAAGCACTGCTGGGGTTGGTACTGGGGCCACAGCTGTTAATAATATACATCAATGATAACACGTCTCACAAGCTTGGGTTGCTTACACAATGATGATGATATCATGACATGGAGAGCGAACGATACAGCGGGTATCCTACACTAATTCAAGCCGATCTGCATGGGGATTATAGGAGGCTGCTCCAGAACCTTCTTCGGTTTAATTCGGAGAATGGTAGAGTACTGCGTGTACGGTATCAGCTCGAGTACGCCTATAAACTGGGAAACCAGGAGCGTCAAACACCTCTCAAAAAGGATCCGAGCGTTTCGATTCAGGCTGACCTTGAGTGTCCGGATCAAGCTGGGAAAAATTAATAAGGAAAGTTCAAAAGATTAGCCTATTGCGGCGTGCATATGGACACAGTTTCCTGGAGCAGGTGTACTTCCGCAATTAGAATATGCAATGCGGGTTTGACAGACATTGTTGGAGAAAGATTTTGTCACTTTAGAGGTACCTCAACACCCTGCAAACAGCAACGTCAAAGACATATGTTATTCGCCATACGAACAGCAGTCGGGAGCGCCCGGAGTCTTCAGGTGACAATCCCGAAGATTGCGTGGTGGTAGTGGTTCTGACTTGTCAGATTCTGAGGGATCCCAATTATGCTACCGCCATCTGCTGTGGCTCAGTCGCAACAACAATCTGTGAGATCAACGCATCCTGCTGGCAGAGCAGTGTACTCGTTTGAAAAACGGTCTGAATTTACTTCCCTCACGTGAATGCCAATTTTGGAATGCCCTCCCGGAAGCTATCATCTGTGCTCCTACACTGGTAGAGTACCAAAAGCGAGTTAAAGGGGCTTTCAGTCATGTGTAGTATTTCACCATACGCACGGCCCACCGGCAAACAAGCGTGTCCTCCAGAGATTTTGCTGCCTAGCAGATCCAAGAAAACGTTTACTTTTTCCTTCCCTTACATGTATGTAACAGGTGGCAAGGATCCTTCAAACTTATCATTTATCGACATTCCTCATGGATTTTTACTTTTTATGGGTTTAACTTAATGAGCGCGCAGGTGTAAAGTTACTATTTGGCGGCACATTAAACAAATTGTGTGGTTGTGGTTCTGACCATCCTACGGCAACTGTTAAACTTGACCTTTTTTGCCCGTATCAAACCTTCGTTCTGTCGTCTAATCGCTTTCGTCGACGACCCATCTGCATTCATCCGTTTAGATTAGCTGAGCACACAATCACTCAGCCGTGGACTTCGAACACAGCTGACCTTCGTTTGGCCTGATATGTCAGAGTCGCAGTAGTCATCGTTAGACCCATTACATCATAATCTTCTCAAACAGACTACTCTGTTCTGACCTACATGTTTCTTATCCACCGGCAGATTTGTCAGCACTTACTCGCATTAAGCTGTATCCCGAGTCACTACGTCTGCATCATCTAGCCCCACTACTTTAGCTAGGTTACACTGGTGGCCGCGTTAGTGGCCATGGCTAAACACTGAGTATCTCAGGGCCACAACCTGTTTCCTTAGTTGAAGTTATTGTACGTGACATGCTCGTAGCAGCGACATGAAAAGTATCAACAACGGAGTTCAGTTTGAATCGTCTTAAAGAAGATGGTCTCATTAAGAGAAATGACCATGGTTACCTACGGATGAACGGCGCTTGTAAGTAACATCAGTCATTACAGGTGCCGAAATCAAGGCACTTGAATAAAGTAATTACTGTTGGGTGACTCGACAACAATTCGAGGCTGCCAGCGATATGTGAGTAAAATTGTTCGCATTACCGATATAACAAGCAAAGTTAATATCTGGAGCATAAGTAACAACTTTTATCGTGCCACCGGTATTCTTTACAAGTTCGTCACAAGACAACAAAGCATGTAGACCTCATTCAGCAGATAACTATAATCTGACTTGCACTTGAATCATCCGTGACCTCCACTGCGCATGCCATAAAATCTGCATTGTACCACAGCTGCAGTATTTTCATTAACGCAAATTATAAATGGTTAATTTTGAATCGAGATTGTCAACTTTTAGGCAGGTAAAGTAGAAATGATGAAAGCCTTTAGATTCTGCACGTCATGCAGTGGGAGTAATATTGAACCAACTCGCGTGCGACTGATTGTCATACAATTGTCATAAAAATAACAGAAAAACCAAACCGAACAAACCCACCTCCATGTTTACCCGGAAACCACAGACGATAACCTTGGGTAGTACATATAACGGACGGGAACGTTGTACTCAGCAAGTTCGTAAATGCGGATGTTCACTATTTCCTATTGCTATTTTGGTCTCCATTTTGCTCACCTCTAACCGATTATCCGGCGGGACATGTTAAGCATCGGCTTTTTTATCCCCCAATATACCATTTAGCATTGAACAATAAAGAATGCAGAGCTTGAGTGACCAAAAAGCGACTGACCTGTTGCGGTCATCCCTTTCTCCTTGGCGATGAAGAGCTTCATTAGCCACTCTTGAACCCGGCTTTACTGGTAGTAGACTTCCACTGGATCCCGCAGTTTCAGATACGCTGTCCGTAAGCCGATCTTCCTGCAGAAACGGTAACACTTCTTCAGATCGCTGAAATCGTGTTCCTCTTTTCTTATCTACAATGGGAACAATTAAAATTGATTGTTTACAAACTACAATGGTTAAATAACCAGCCATTACGACCGAGGATAGAGCTGCTGGGTAATCAAAACAACCTTCACATCTAGGTATCTCTTTTATCGCCAGGTGGTGCCCATGATTTGTGTTTGGATCATAATCCAGGTGATAATAAAAAGATGTAAGTTAGTTATAAGTAAACTCGGAAAAACGCGATCAAGTTCTCAATAAAATCTGGCTTGGAGATACTCTGAACCTTGCGTTATCTTTTGTTTGGCATCTCCGCTTGTGAGGAAAAACTTACCAAACCATCATATAGTCTACCCTACTTGGTTGAAAGGCCTTCGGACGTCGGATTAGGAGACTTTATACGGCTGCACAACTGACTAGTGGCAAGCACCTCGGAAGTCAAAATGTTCCACTTAAAAATAGTGAAAACATTCAGGGAAGTAGTAATAGGACTTGCATAGCCTAGAGGAACCTACCTTGGCGGGCCTACAAACCATTCAAGTTGAGGACACCAGGATTCCTATACAACGAGAAGAAACCACTGAGTCACTCCAATTTATGAGCATAGTGTATAACATAAACAGGTTTTGACAGAAGCTTGTTTAAATCTAATGCTACTTACAGCTACGTCGACAAGCTCAATATACTTTAGTGGGAAACTCCTGCTTCGCATACAACATGTGAGTTGGAACAGAATTTATGAGGGGTGATAAGTCCTGTTCGTTGGGAATTCACCCGTAATTTCAGGATTCCACCATCCTGCAGCATTCTTCTCACACCGTTCACAATATATACTCAGTCTAGCCGCGTCTGCCTTGCATCTTCCGCGGTGCTAAAGTACATGATAGCTTTTCTCCAGAACAATTCTCCTCGTCTACATGTCATTCCCACAAAAGGATTGATGGTGGATATCATGAATGCAGCAGAAATACAAGTCCGACTATTCCAAAGTTTTTTGGTCCAATTCGGATTTGCACCTTGAGGTAACAGGGAATCGTCAAGCTCAGATACAAAATTGACAACTTGGCAGAATATGCGAAGTATCACCCGGTAACTGTCCTCCCAGTATCATTCACTGTCATGGAGTTCATCACTGCTGAGGTGCCCATAGGATACCTTGAGAGTTGCGAAAATGCTGTGCAGGAACGACATGGATTCCGCCAGTCTAGGTCATATGCAAACTGATACCCCTTGCATGTTGGACAGTATGTGTTGATTTTGATGTAGTGGTTAATGCCGCCTATATGAACGTTCTGAAGACATTTGACTATCTAGCTCAAGGCGGTCTAGCTCTTAAGCTTCATGTCTATTGTAATGGGGATTCCACTCTAGCTAATGTACATAATTCCTTCCTTCAATGTCCTCTAAATGTGAGAGCTTTTAGCGCACAGCCCAACCCAACGGAATTTAAAGTTGGCTCACATCAAACATCAATGCCCTGAACATGTTTATCCACTACGTACGAAAATCATCTAGCGAGGATGCCAGTTTCAAAGCTTCCACTTATCACTAATCCCTTAAGGACACGAAGCAATGTAGAAACAATGGACGAGCACACAGCACTACAAACGGACTTGCGCAAGGTTTACAGGGGGTTGATCAAACAAATGCCCCCAGTTCAACGCGGTAGAGTTCAAAGTTCTGGTCGCACACCATCAGAGCACTACTTTAGCAGGCTTACGATCAGATCCATACCTGAGTGCTGATACAGTGTAACCTTGCCTGTTCGAGGCAGGCTGAAAAGGCTCGAAAAGCTGACCGATCTCTTAGAATTTTAAAAAGTGTGTTCCAGCTGCTAGGCTGTTTTTTTTGTTTCTGGCGCTTTAAAGGTACTTAGACTAAACTGGAATAGACTATCCAAGCGTGGCAGCCAAGGAATATGTCGATCTCACTATGCTCGAGAACGTAGGACGTAGGGCAGCTGAGAAGATTATTACGACGTTGTCCACTTTTCATGCCAACTTAAGCTTAAGAGTGTACAAATGAAGTTCCAAGCGTCCACAAGGATATATCATGATGATGTATGCTATTCTTGAAAATTCCAACCACTTGTTTCCATCTCTTATAACTCTACCCTCCAAGAGCCCGAACTTTGAAACCTCCTTCGAAATTTTGTCATTCCTGTACCGACCTTGTTACTAATCACGGGACGAGTTAATAATATGCTAACATATATGCATTGCATAAGCTAGCCGGTGAACGCCGAGTGGAAAAACAAAGTTAAACGAACGGTGTGATCAACAGAGTTTTCCATCTTGTAAAGGTAGATGCGCCTACCTCTGTGTTAATGTGAAACACATGCAGAGTCTCTCAATACGCGTCTTAGTTCAGTGACACGCACATGCATCGTGTAATTGTCACCATATGAGAGTTGTCCAGCATATGCATACTACTCATTATAGACCAATCGCCTGTAGTTTTACCGCTGAGGTGTTAACGTAGTTAATTGGATGGTCCGTTGTTTCCTTATTATCAGGTTATTGCTAGTTAAACTTTGAAGACAATCAAAAATAATAGACCATGAATAGTAGATGTCTAATTAATGGTATGCATGATATACACACCCAAGTTCGATGTGCTGCTGCTCTTTCCTGACCTCCCAAGCACTGTTGAAAACTTGTGGCTAATGCTTGGACGTGTTTTCCACCCGCTTCCATTTTTTACCCGATTGTGCTGCTCTGGTGGAATCGGATGAAACTCTTTGGGTTTTTCACGGTAACCAACATCTCTTCCATCTGAAGATTCCATGAGAATAGACCCACACTCCGAGCTGCTACTTTCCTTTTGCTGTCTTCGTTCATCATCTGCCGGAAAAGTTGGTCCATGATGGAACACACGGGGCTCGTTACTGCTTTTTTCTGGTAAGTCGTACTCCCTCCTCACTGGACTGTATGACTCAGGGAGAAGTTCATTGTTGCTACCCATCGCAGAAGCCTGGTGATACGGTGTTGTAAAATGAGCCAAATTATCGGACTGTCGGTTTCTTGACCGATCGGAGCGTGCTGTACGTATACTTATCCGAGAGACGTCAGAGATATCCGAATATTCAGAAACGTCTGAATGTAACTGAGGTTCTTGGCCCCGGTAGCTTTTTCCAACTCTGCAACAACAATGAACAACATGGTGGTGTATGGTTTTACGTACATAGTGGTGCTAACTTTAGAGCAATTTTAGTAACCATTTTAGAGTGGGGTAGAGGGAATAATGGGCTACGTTAAACGTCGAACACACGGAAGTTACTTGAATTGAAAATCGCCCAAGTTATCGTGAAAATCGACTCCGTTAATCGTAGGACACGTTTTCTAGTCAGATGGCTCAGTTTTATTTCTGTATGTTTTAAAGAATGGAATAGCATGGAAACAGGGAAAAGAGAACCGAGAAACGTTGCATGTTGCCCGCTACCCACACTCCCCTCCACAAGCAACTTTGCTCTTGGTTATTCTAAGCAGGTCTAGAAAGTAGGATGGCAATTCAACTAAGGGTCATTGGGACTAAAGACCGATGCTCTTATCGGTACACCACCGAGTCGCGGACACCACTTCTCACGGCTGTTGATGACTTAGGGCTAATGTAGTTAAGGCTTCCGTTATGTGTGTGGACTGTGCGACTAGTATTCGCAATATGAGACACGATTTATTTTAGGACGATAAACACCGACCAGTTCAGTCACCGGGGCCTTCAAATAAATCCCTCGTGACAACCTCCGCTGGGTGACGTAGAGATACAGGTGTCACCCAGAAATTCCTGCATCCAGTACCACTTGTTATTTACACCTGAGGAGTACAAGAAATTAAGAAACTGTTTGTAAAGTGCAGTATTGTAAACGAGAAATATTCATCATTAATCTGTTTCAAACACCGTCCCGGTGACAAACTTGGCTGAGACTCCCAACACAAATAAAAGCATCCTGTTATGTGTCCTCAACTTAAAAATAAAACTAGGCTCAGATGCAATTAGAAAGCTGATCGGTTAGCCTATTTCCTACGGCTAAGGAAGGGTTCCGGTTCATATACTCTTTGTCGCGGCTTAACTGACCATTTTGTTTGTATCGGTGTCCTTGCGCTTGTCTTCAGTCACTGCATTCTTTGTTTTTCATCTGTCACACTCATTACCTTTCAATTATATCGTGTTTACTTCCGGTAGACATAGAATCAGTAGATTCTTCTTCGATGTAGTTTGGCAAATAAATACGCAGCTATATGAACGGATATCACTGAGTTCTGAGATTAACCTAACAATCTACCCTGTCACTCCAGAAAAGTTGACGCAAAGATTGCGCGCCTATTCAATAGGCAAGTAAGGTGCAGTTGAGATAAACTAACCGAACACAACCTGCACTTAATTATTGTAGGGACCTAATTGATTGAGTTTACTTATCGGACGCTCAAAAACAAGTGTACATCCCACGGACTTCCGCACAACACATTAAGATGGAACAACTAAAAGTAATTGAAAGATGGACCATGGTAGCCGGTTAACTAGCTTGTAAACAGCCGAAAACGTGTCGTAATTTTATTGCTTCTGCGCCGCGTTATTCGCAGCCGATTTGATTCATAATGGTGCACCTCACCTCCTCTACCATTCAACCAAGGTCGATGCGCGATTCAACACATTTAGTTAGACAATATCAAGAGATTTATAAGACCATGCATTAAGTAAGATGATCTGTGATGGTTCGTGCAATGCATGAGCTCCCTTTACTCCTTGAGATCAATGACAGTCAAGTCCCTGGACGATCAGTATCACATTTAGGGCCCGGTTATTGGCTATGAGGTACCCACTCTGATGTCTGCAATTGCATAGGCGCTGATCGGAATGATCACAGGGATGTAAGTAGACGAGAACTCTGCGCAAACACATCGACCCGTTTCAAGGCCTGATTCTCTGTTGGACCACCAACAACTGACACGTCGATCAACCCACTGGTAACTAGTTAAACTCCTCAAAATCATGAGTTTGCGTGATTTTGACAAATAACGCCTGTCCAATGAACACTGCGTAACGTTATCTGACACTCCAATATTTTATCTGACGTCTTTAAGCTGCATCCCAACAAACCTGGATGATTTGTTGCTACAACGAGTTGGTCCACCTCTATCCTGACCTGTGCACCATAATACAACTTCTATAAGCAGACTCAGTTGTCGAACACCAACACAAGAAACCCCATAGTGATGGGCTGTTCCAGATTGATCTCCCACCAAGTACAAGAAGGTTATCAATTGGATTTTGGGTGCATTGCAAAAGCGTCCGAATGTCTGCCCGTCGTGCGACACAGACCAGGAGATAACAGTTGTCCAATCATCAAGTATGAGAATGTTGTGTGGTGAACCACTTGTGGGTCAACTTACTCACTGAAAACGCCTGCCAGTCAGGCGTGCAGCTTAACGCGAAACATGGAGAACCAAGATCGCTCATACACTATGTATTCTCATCTAACCCTACGACGTACGGTTACGCGCGCACACAGTTCGTTCGCTACTGCTACACATCCGTCGTTTTACTATTTCGAATGCCTATTTCTATGGTCCATTCGCCGAATGCTTTGCCTCACACTTAACATTTACCTGGTTCTGATACGATCTCAGAGACTAATTGGCTGAGTCACTTAAAGTATGTTGCGGCTCAAAACCTCGGAATGAAAATCCAACTACCCTACCAAATGTTACCTGGAGCTGCAAATAATAGGTAGATATGAAATTAAGAATACTAAGTACTCTCTTTTACTGGTCAAAACAAAATATTAACACCCGAAAAAGCCACTTAAACAGATATACTGAAATATGTGATTGCTGTCTATTGAGCTACGAGCCGTCGGATCGCAACCGGTAATCAAAAAGCCATTTCTAAATATCTGGCAGTGCAATACGCAAAAGGAACATTGCAATTAAAGTAAAATAGTCTATTTTAGATGTTATGAATATGGCCTAGCTCTGCCGAACTTGCGCAGAATTCGCAAGGCTCAGCTGAGACATGTAATCACCGTGCGACTACTCAGACTGCGCTAGAAACTAAACGAGCCATCCCCAGGACAGAGGCAAAGCGACAATGAACCAACTGAGTTCTGGTCAGGGCACATGCATCCGCTGTGCAAGCTTTAGTGGACCCACTGAACCTACTTCACGCCGCAGTGAACCATGTGAGCTATGCAGTTGCTGCGGCGGTTACCACACATTACTGACACTAACCGAAAGTTCCTCAGGACACTACCACTCTGTGCCAGCTCATGTGCCTTGACAAAATTCCTCTTTCGCTATAGTTTATGTTTTTCTATTGAGCAATATAAATGATGGCGTAAAAGGTATGCTTCGCCTTGGTTGAGTCAATAAAATAACTCTTGCTAACGACCAATCTTTTTCTCCTTCGGGTCTCAGTGCAGTCGCGCTAGGTTGCGCTTATTCGTCTCTAGTGTTAGCTCGGGTATAGCCCGCAACGTTACGAATTCGACCGGTTACTCTGCATGCGTTGGGTACTATCTGTGAACACGCGTTATACTGAATACTGAATACTGTATTTTGGAGCAAGTAGAAAATAATTCTGTACAACTCCATCGGGTGATAATCAAAAAACATTTTTTTAAAAAATAAATAAACACGTCCGGTGGTTATCCTGAGATGGTTCAGCAACTCCTTCTGTAGCACACAAAATGCTTGTTTACACAGTGAGTCACAAGTGGGTGATATCGTTGTCAAGTGGCAACCGTTCTCTGAAACGTATGTTAGCGAAGTGTACATCCAACAAAGCTTTGAATTTCTGCACAGATTCGGCCTCGACGACGTGTTCTGGCAGACTGTTCCAGGCGTGCACAACCCTCCGCTCGAAACACAGGGGGTGTGGGATTTTCTTCAGATCAGGTACCACGAGTTTGTACCTGTGCCCACGTGTGGTGCATGGTACTCGCAAGTGGAGTAACGACCTTAGCATGGGGAAATGACCGAGATGTAAAATACGGTAGGTCATGATAAGATCCACTCGAACACGGCGATATGACAAGGTGTAGAGCCCAAGTTTCATGCACCGGTTTTCATACGATAAGCCTCTCAAGCTGGGGATCAACTTGGTGGCGATGTGTTGTACTCGTTCGATCTTTTGCGCTTCGCCGCGAGTGATCGGACAATATGCAGGCGAGCCGTACTCTACCATTGGTCTGACGATGGAAGAGAAGAGGCGAGTGGCGACGTCCTCAGACCAAGTGCAGAAGCTGCGTTTCAGCGCCCAGAGCATGCGCAGTCCGTTTCGATACAGTTTGTTGGTGTTGTCGACGGACTTCAAGTCGCAGCGTGAGAGTACACCTAGGTCTTTCACGGAAGGTGTGGGATGCAGTGGTTGGCCGTCTAGGGTGTACGTTCGTCCGTGAACAGCCTTCCCGAGACTCATGAATAGGGACTTGACCGGGTTGACCGGTAGGTGGACTTCAGCAGACCATACTGCGAGGCGGTCGAGGTCTTGTTGGAGAATGTCACAGTCATCGAGAGTATTAATTTCTCGCCAAATTTTGAGGTCATCCGCAAACAATGCACACGGCGACCGTAGAAGCTGGGGCAGCTCGTTGATGTGGATGAGAAACAGAGTGGGTCCCAGTACCGTACCTTGAGGTACACCACTGGTCGAGGGATACCAATCGGTTAGATGGCCGTCCACCTGTACCCTCCACTTTCTTCCAACGAGAAATTCATGGATCCATCGATGTAACGATCCTCCGACACCACACGACCTTAATCTGTCTAGAAGCAATTCATGATTGACTTTGTCGAATGCTTTGCTGAAGTCCATGTAGATTACGTCGACGGACTTTCCCCGGTTCAGTGCTTGCAACCATTCCTGTCTCGTCACAAGTAAGTTTGTAACACAAGAATATCCCATCCTGAATCCGTGTTGTGCCGGTGTCAGAAGTTCTTTCGATTGTAACAGATGTATTAGACGCTTTTTTACTATCTTCTCGATCACTTTGGCCAAAACGGGTGTAAGACAAATTGGCCTGTAGTTATCCACCTTACTGGGGTCGCCACCTTTCGGGATCGGCCTCACCACCGAGCGCTTCCAGTCGTTTGGCAATGAGCCCTCAGACAATGATTTGTTGAATAGATCCGTAACCACAGGCGAGATAATGGCAGCTAGTGATTTGATAATTAGCGGATGAAGCCCGTCAGGCCCTGCAGGCTTGGTACCGTCAAGGTTCGCAAGTAGCAGGCGCACCTCGTCGACATCACAAACCAAACTGTTGAGTTCTACAGGAATGTTACTGGCTGAGATGGGTATGGACGCCGCGTCGTTTGCAAACACGGAAGCGAAGTGAGCGGCCAGTGCGGACGCGCGATCGGAACTGGAAGTTAGCAGGTGTCCGTCCGCGTCTTCCAGACATGACACGTCACCTTTTGGCTTCAAACGGCGTTTCACGTAAGCAAAGATCTTCTTTGGGGCCATCCTCGCGTCAGTTGCAAGCTTTTCTTCGAACTTCCGGCGCTTTATCAATTTCACTTTGTTGCAAATATTTCGCTGTCTTTTATATGCTTCGTAATCAGTGGCGGAGCCAGAGAGGCGAAATGCGTCCCACATTCTTCGCCGTAACCGAGCCAGCCTACCATATTCCTTGTCGAACCAGTGTGGTTTGATTGGTCCGACTTTCTGAAATTTCAACGGCACAAACTGAGAACAAAGCAAAGCCAATCCTTCCTTTATTACTGTCCAACCGTCCTCCACAGATGTAACATGCGGTAGAGACCAATCCACTTGGCTCGCTGCTCGATTTAATCCATCGAAATCAGTTTTCCAGTAGTTGTAAGCTGGTTCCACCGGAGATACACTCGGCAAGTTCAGTTCCATAGTGGCTATCAGCACGGAATGGTCGCTTTTAGCTAGGGGCTCCTGGATTCGTATGTCATGCAACCGCTGTTCGCAATTTGTCACCATCAAATCAAGGCACGATGGGTTCGAACGCGCCGTCATGCGCGTAGGTTGGTATATGTGTTGCGATGCCCCAGTTTCAAGCAACAAATCAACAAACTTTGATTCGACTTCAGAATACCCGGGCATGAGTTGGATTTCAGGCCATTGAATGTGGGGACAATTGAAGTCACCCATGAGTAGAAAACATGGACGACTCATGTTGTTCCGAAGATGCGGTAGCCAATCTAAAGAGCGGTTCAGAGGGCTACGGTAGAATGCACCTACTGTCAGCTTGCCGAGCCTGAGGTTGATCGAGCACCATACCTGTTCACACAGTCCATCTTCACTTCGGTACACGCTTACAAGCCTCCCATGCAGGGAAGACCGTATATAAAGTAAGACACCACCACGAGGATTTGATATTCTATCGCAGCGAAAGCATGAGTAGCCACTGAGATCGACTTCCTCTGCCATTACCTCAGAAGTTAGCCATGTCTCCGCCAGTCCTACGACGTCTGGTCGCTCAGAGGCAACGAAGCGACACAGCTCATCCCGTTTGTTCATAAGGCTACAGATGTTTGTGAATGCAACACGGAGGTCCTGAGAGGCACCGCGGGACGTGCCTTGAGGTTGATCAACCGACTGATACGGGTTCGTGCACCCTTCTTGATCACTCGAAAATTTACGATGTGCAGATCAGTTTCGCCTTCTTCTGTACGGCGTTTAAGCTCAAGGATCGCAGTCTTCAAGCGGTTCCTCTCTTCGGGTTCCAAGTCTCGGCGGATGTGAACCCTGGTGCCTTTAAGCCTGGAGAGACGAGACAGAATGAGTTGTGGCGTGCTGTGGTCAGCAAAGGTGATTCTTAAAGGTCGACATGATTGGTTAGTATGCTGACCAAGTCGGACTACTTGTTTTATCGTTATAAGAGGTGCAGACTGGGGCATTGGTGGCCTGAGCACAATTAAGCTCAAAATTTTCTATTTACAAGATCTTCGCTAGGCGAGACGTTCCGAGAGAAATGCATTAAAAAGGCGAGATGAAATGTTAACAGAATTCGTTACATTCTTTTTCACCCAATCGTCTTTATTTCCTTGCAAGGGAAAGCACATCTCACTACCCCACAAGAATGGTTATCACCTATCAAGAAATCGTTAGCCGGATCTTACGTGCATAATTTCACCTCCACACTCCAGGTTCTGCATACATAGTCATACCTACCTTGCAGCCAAATTAAAATTGTGTGAGCTGGAAGCGTAACACTGACCGAGTCTATCCATTCCCAATCGCGTTTATTATTCGTTCTTTTACTCGGCGACGCTCCCCTTGTGGCCGCATGCAAACACCTCATACGGGACGTCAAGGCAAAGCTAGCCGATCCTGATGCATACATCTGTTTCCCTATTTACCATAGTTTTCACGTTTCCCTTTACTCGTCTGCGCCTTGTGTACTGTTAAGCCAACATGTCTGAGCCGGTTGACAATGCTGACCGGGTTCATTTCGCACATCTAGCCGACCTCCTCTTCCAGCTAACTAACGCGCAACGTGTAGCTGCTATATTGAAAATAAACCTTCCCCTGCTTCCTACATCCGAGAATACGATAGTGCATAAAAAAACTGGTTGCCAAATTATCTGGTATGTTCTGTTCAAAAGCTGTTTTGCTCCAAACAGTGTAATTAATTTAAACCACACAACCAAAATACAGAGACCATTTTGCGCTTTGATTCTAGAGTATATCGCTGATTTGATCCCTATTTTCGCATAACATATGGATCAATCCGTAGTTTTTCTGAGTAAATTTGATTGCTAAACATGTGTCTTGTGAAAATTAAAATATATATTGTTATTATTATTATAATACTTGTTAATAAGTACTTTGTTGCAAGTAGGCGACCGTGCAACAAGGAACCAAGTGTGGTAACATGTCGAGTCCAGCCGCGCAGCCGCAATATCTCGGGTCTAGGATTCTCAGGATAACTACAACCGACAGTTCATCTGTGTCCTATCATGTCAAAAGCTATGAATACTTATACGGTTCCTTTGTGAAACCGCATAAGTGGCTGAACGAATAATATAAACAACTTTAAATCATCCTTCATTGATTCGCTCTCTATTAAGCAGTTGCAGATCATACAAGCTCGTGGTTGCAAGGATAATACCACTGATATTATTTCATGTTGGTAATAGTCTCGATTTTCTGGAATTCAGTTTTAACCCTTGCTCCTCGGTTGCATTCTGAGACGGAAAACTAGAGATAAGGGACTTATTACCGGTGGGTCAGGCTTACACAACTTGTTACTCTATACCAGGCTTGTTTCGTCGTGAATATTAAAGTATAAATCCAGCAGAATTAGTAACGCGGCATCTAACAACTTGCAATGCAAGTTAGGATTTCAAATTATAGAAGGACACCAGTAACTTGTTTCAAATGGATAATTGATTACCGAGGGGAACCAAGAGGAAAATGTCTTCTCATCTGCCTTGCGTCTACTCTGTTTGACATGTGCGAACTGAGCACGCCTGTGTCGTGCGTCGATTCGTCAGTTTCGTCGTAAGCTGTTGCTTGATGCGTTAAATCTTCTCCCACTTTTGCTGGGACTAAATGCGGAGACTCATGTGTGGGAGCCATGCGTCCTGTGACCGATTGCTGTGTTCTGCGAGGTGACCGAGAATGAGCTGCCATGGGGGTTGGGCAGGATAAAACATTTAGAGAGTTCATTGCTAATAAATCCGATTTCAATTATAGAATTATTTCTGTTACGGTGTTGCCCGGTGGATGAAATATGTTTAACTGGAGTTATTCAGTCTGAAGGCACACAGCATAGTTTTCGTGCTAGTAGCAGCCTGGGAAATCAACTCAACAGTTCGTGGAGTATGTTGACAAAAACAAATTGCTTAAGTGAATCATTTGATTGTCTTCCCTTTCGTTAACTTATTCTTGGTATGTCTCAGAAGTAAGAGAAACGGATGACTACTTTCAGGAATCATTCTCATACAAACTTTCATGGGTCACAACCTGCGAAGAATGGATTTGTCGCAAATATCTCAAAATAGCCTTGGAACGGATGGGAGTTCATATTTTATGTCAAGAATACACATCGGTATTGCGCAGGCTTTTTGTGATTATGTTTCCCGCTTGGAGCACAAGCTCCTTTAGACCAAGTGAATCGGTACATAGTTGGCCTAGCTTTTATGCCAAAATAGACAAGTCAAATCAAGATATGATTTAGGAACCTTAATGTGTTCATTTTCAGCATTTACATCACCACTACAGAAAACTGGATGATAATATCAGTAAACATACTTGGAGAGCAAATAGAAATAATGCACAACTGCCATTGTAACAACCGCTCGCTCACTGTGTTTATGACTTTCGCTAAGTCAACAAGCAAATGTGACAGATAAGACAAGACTGTATTGCTAGATAATGACGTGTGGGAGGACAAACGTTTGAATTCCGAACGCGTAAAAGAGTAAGAGAACGTTTTTGGAAGCGAATTCTGTAGTGGGTGAAAATGATCAGCTAGACAAATTATAGCAGACATCAAGATGTCTAGAAATAGTCAAATCTACTAAAGAATCAGTAGACAAGCAGCTGCATCTAGAAATGTGCTTTTATAGATCGTACCAATAAGATGTAGCTTTCTGATACAGTCCAGGGAAGAGGGCAGGAGAGCAGTATAACCAATGGGGACTAATGCAAGAGGTCACGAACTTATATAGTAAAGTACGGGGAACTGAAAACACGTTAAGTCTAAGGGGTTTAAACGTTTTCTGACTATTTTTAAAGTTTCACATAGATGCGTGGACCAAGAAAGACTTTGGAACAAAACGTCGCCGGGATGCTTGATGGTGGAATATCTGGATATGGTATTTCCATTTACAGTAAGATTGGAGGAGATATCAGTGAGGGACCGCAGCCTCGTGGCACCACCGCATTTAGAAGCGTTAAGTGTGAGGGATCTAGATGATGACCACTTCATCAGATCTTCCAAGCCACGATGAAGTGATGAGGAATCCAGGTTAGTGGGGGCCATACATCCCAGCACAACATCGTTAGCATATTTGTATCCTAAAAGCTAGACGTTCAACATATAAGGAATATAGAAAACGTGATAGGTTCTCTCCCTTCAAAACAGTGCAATCGGCACGGAGGACAGAATACTTCTTATCTTTTAACTTGGTAAAGTGAGCACGATCCGTAAAATCGTCACGCTGCAGACTGCAAGCACACACACACGCGAGTGAACTCCATTTTCATATAGCAGGTTGAGCAACATCGATCTACCCAGGCTTCCAAAGACTTTCGAGTAATCAAGGAAGAGAAGCCGCATGGATTTTCATTTGTGCTCTAACGCAGACGCTATAAAATGCACAATGTAGGCCACTGCATCAAATGTACAGCGCTGGACTCAATGGCAAACTGGTACATATCGCGGAATTCGCGGAATTAACTGTTTCCCGAAATCTTTAAGTAGCACTGATATATACGCAGTCGGACGACATTTTTGAGATCCAATTTTGGGAACTGTGGTTATACTGGCCGATCTTTAAATGTCCGGGTTCACACCCACATTGAGGCATTTTAAAGATATCTGTTAAGGGTAATGTGAAGGAATCAGGACACACTTTCAAAGCTACTATACCATTTCCCGGTCAAGTTGTCCTCTTGGGCAACAAAAATAATCTGAGGGGGCATTCAACATGAGTCTACTCAATTAATTTGTTCCGTGTATACGCCAGTCACTTGTGCAGGTGTGTAGGTGTGCGTGTATAGCCCGTCACCTTCAGCCAATTGAAACGCAGACGCACTAAGTCATAAGGGTGCAGGTGGGACGCCTCAGCTCCTACGCACGAAACAAATTAATTGAGTAGACTCAGGTTGAATGCCCCCTCAGATTATTTCTGTTGCCCAAGAGAACAACTTGGCCGGGAAATGGTGTAGTGATAGAGCGTCCGAACCCCTAGCTTTGTTTGACTTTAGACTTTTGAGTTCCTTGTGGAGGTTGCTTTGATCGAAGGTCGCAGCTGGACTTGCGCTAATGAAGAAGCGCAAGAGGGATGACCATGGTGAAGTAGAACCAAACTCAGTATTTATTTAGACCACACCCACTTCACATCGCTGGCTGCAAGAATTCTTATCACAGAGCAGCTGTTTAGAACCGCTTCGACGCATAAGTTGTTTAGTCATTTTATCTCAGATTTAATTGCTGGTAAGTAGCTCTTGACACAAGCAATCTTTGAAATAGTCTGTACGGCGGCAATTATGAACAGTACCGTAACTCATTGTATAGTGGCGTTACAGTTCGATATACCAATGAGTCATTTTAGTGTTAGAACAGGCCTGGAACGTTCTGAGTGGTCCGCATCAGGAACCATTCACACGTGAGGCAAACCTGTTCTTGTTGCGGCTAATTCACACTTCGACTTGAGTCCGTCGGCAGACGCTGTTAAAACTGGCCTGATTAGGACATCTCCACCCCACTCATACTGTTCATGCGGTCAATGGCTTTTACTTTTTCAACGACCTCAGTAAAATCCTGTGGCCCGTTGCTTGTACTCATCTCCTAATCATCACTACATTGACCCAATGAATTTCTGGCCTCGTTGCTGGCGTCCACAGCCATCGCGAAAGCCCTTAGTAAGGCCCTTTGTTCAGGCTGGTTGCTCAGTAGACGAGAAAAGTGTCTTGTGCTCTGCTACCCTTCTGTAGTTATTTCGTTTGAATTGTAGAAAGTATTTTTTCTCACTCAGAATCAGTCCTCACTGGAATGCATTACCAAACTATGTGGTGAAAGCACCAGACATGACGACATTCGAAAGACTCTTAGATTTTCATCTAAGTGATAAACGATACACAACACTTTGTTAAAGTGCAATGATTTAACCATTGATACTTTGCGGTTCACGTTGGAACATTTTGCTTTTAATTTTCTTTCGAATATCCATCCTGTGGGTCTTGTAAAGTTATGCTTTTTATCTCATTATACACCACTGAACCATTGAACCATTGAACCTAGGTACACGTGTGCAGCCTGTAACCAATTTTGTACATGCAGTTAAGCATTCTATCACTCGGACTTGGAACTTACCAACGCACCAGAGCTGAGCGGAGCGTTTGACCCTTTTGGAATACCCCGCTTAGTATCTTGGACTAGACTTGGAACTGACTGGGAACTCGCAATATCGAAAGCCTTTATAACAAAAACCGATTTTGTAAAGTCTTGTATTACCGTCACCTTTCGTCCTTGAGACAAGAGCTTTTCTGGCTTAAACTAGAGTCTCGTTTTAAGTTTCCACCGTCAACTTGCATTTGATCAGTTTGGCCCAGAAGGTAGCTATCTTAACGCAGGTCTGTTTGTGGTAATATACCGTCACGATCAACTCATTGGTACACAATTCAAGATCTTAGGCATTATGTTGGGTTTGACGGTATGATAATAGTCTCTCTACAGCTTACTTGCTATCAAACTCACACAATCTGTGGAGACCCAAAGAATCGGTTTTTTGAACCTGTGGTCGATAGCAGTTTAGTTTAGGCGGTTTGTATTTTATTAACATAGGGCCAATCTGATAAAAGAAAGTTATATAAAGACAGTGGTAAAATGTTCGCCCCCACGTTGAGCTGCTAACTTTGTGCCGCTGTTCTCAATTAACAGATCTAAGTCCACCATCTGTAGACTGTTCTCCTTTGTAGTTATGAGCGAATGGAACGACTAACTTCTCACCAACACCATACGGGGTAGATGTTGGAATTGATTTTGCCTGTATTCCAACCCCTGATCATTATAACGCAAGTATCTCTAAAGGCCAAATCCTTAGCAGAAAGTGTCTTTTGAAAATAACCCTTCGCTTATAGTGGACAGTAGCAAATGATCAACTATTCTATTTTTCTTGATTTTGTATTTCCAGTTCTTATAGTAAGCGATAAAACGCTGTCTCTGACTTTAATAAACGCACTAATAATGAGCCTGAATAGCCTCACAAACACAAGTGCTATATTACTTCATCATCATCACTATTATCATCATCCTCATCCGCATCCTCCTCCTCCCCATCATCTTCACCCTCATCATCATCATCATCAACATCATCACCATCATCATCAACCTCAACATCATCGTCCTCATGTCTGTTGGCTGTACCCACGGACACCGCAGAGTTTTCTGCTACCACGCGCTGGATCCTGCTTTTTCTCTGGAATTACTGTATTTTACGTGTGTTGCTGTGTTAGTTGTGCACCAAACTTTTTAGTTTCGTGTGTTCATCAATCCATGAAAGTTTCGTGGAATTCCGCTTGATATCTTCGGAGATCTCAGTGATTTACGGCTGTGCCCGTCATTTTGGAATTTGTGATCGACATCAGGTCTTGTCCTCGTGCTTGGAAAAATACAACAACTATGCCGAATATCATGCAACGACGTATCTGCTCTTCAGCTAATTGCGGCAAAGCCCTTAAAATGGGTATAACGTGCCGAAACTGCAGTGGCTCGTTCCACCCGAGCTGTATAGGAAAGTCCGCCCAAGAAGCAAGGCAAATAAACAAGGCAGCTGACGCATTTTGGTTTTGTCCAACTTGCCAGTTAACTCCAGTGGTCGGTTGTTTATGTGCACTCATGGAAAGGTGCGATACTTTGAATGCGACAATCGCTTATTTGTTGAACGCCAGGCTTGCA